CGTGTGTGTGTGTGTGCGTGTGTGTATTCCCTCATGAAAGGCAGGTGTGGTTCTCATTATCACACAAACAGAGTCAGAATCGTCTCTCAATGTCTCTGATTCAGAGTGAAAAACACACAACACACACAGAATAACACTAGAGGAGACGAGTCTCTATAATTCTCATGAAGTCATACCACAAACATTAGTTAAGTATTTAAATGTTGGGCAGCAAGCCCATTGGCTACCGATACAGGAGAGAACCAATCAGCCGTGACATGTGATGATGATGTCATTATGTCATACTGAGTTAGATCTATCAGACTGCGCCATCTAGAGTTTCATGCCAGAACTTTGCATATATACAGTGTTTGTGTGTTTTATTTGTTTTTCCCATTTTTAAAAAGTTCTATAAAAGTTCAAGATGTCAATGAGCAGTCGAGGTCAAAAAACTGCGATCTCTGTCCAAAATAATTGTTATTATAAAACTGATACATTTTATTTTTCATGATTCACAGATGGCCAGAAAGTTCAAAAGAACAGCATTTATTTGAAATAGAAATCTTTTGGAACAATATAAACGTCTTTACTGTCACTTTTGATCAATGTACTATATCCCTGATAAATAAAAGTTACTGCACAGCGCTGCGAGATCCAGTGAGAAGCGTTTGAACTCGCCGCAGAATGAATAAAGATTGCTGCGAGATCTAGTGAGATACATCCATATTCTGCACAGAAATCTCTGTTATGAACAGATCAAACAGCGCTGACGTAGAAAACCAGAGGCAGTAATGCTAACTATAGCCATGGTGTTGTGGAAGAAATAGTCCAATGTTATTACATTGTTCATTTCAGGGTTTGTACAACCTTTTGAGAGAGAAATTCAAGCTCTTTTCAATGACTTACAAGCATTTCACACAACAATTTCCAGCACTTTAAATCTCCAAAATGATCCAATTTGAATGCTATTTTTAATGGGATGAACAAACACTTATGTAAAATAAAAAAAATAAACATAAAATCACCATTATAACCTGTAGATGGCAGCATATTGGCTTATTAGTCATTCATTTTTTCCTTTTTCCTTTATATTTTGAAATTATAAAATAACAATTATAAAATCACTATTATAAAATATCAAATCATCAAGAATCAGATTTTGTCAAGAGTTTTGCTCTTTTTTGTGTATGAAGTAAGAAAAGTCACAAAGCGTTTTGAAAAACTTTTCTTGAATTTGCGACAGCACATTATGAGTGCAGTTACGTCTCACTTAAAACTCTCTCTGACATCATGATGTTACACTGTGTGTGTGTGTGAGAGTGTGTGAGAGTGTGTGTGTGTGTATGTGTGTGTGTGAGTGTGTTGTGCTCTGGGTGTGGCGTGTATTGCTGTCATGTGTGTGTGTATGAACTGTGTTCAGTACAGAGCATGTGAGCGAAGCGGAGCGGTGTGACGCTCCGCTACGTTTTCCGCTCTATGGATGTGCGCTCCACTCAGTCGCTCTAACCGCCCAAGCAAACGCTCCGTTAATATTCCGCTCACGCTCGCCGTAAACCAATTCCCGCTCAGATCCCGCTCAAGGCGCTCTGCGCTCTTAAGGAAATATTACCACTCCGCTCCCCGCTCCGCTCACGCTCCGCTCCGCTCACATGCTCTGGTTCAGTAACACTAGACGAGTGTGTAACAGAACACGCAGCACACACCCTGACCCCAGATCAGCACACGCATGACCTCTGACCCTCAACATACATGATGACCATGCATCCACTGGATCACACGATGTCACTTTCTCTCTTTAAAGCAACAGTTCAACCAGAAATGAATTTCTTCAGCGAAACACAAAAGGAGATTCAGAGCTTTAAAAAGATGATTCATAAAAACACCACAAACACATTATAATTAACAGTCATCATATGAATCGTGCACAATATTCCAAGTCTAATGAAGTCATATAATGTTCTGTGTGATGAACAGACCAAAAGTCAGTGAGCTGAATTTGATTCATAAACAATTCACAAAAGAATCATTCAGTCATCTGGATCTATTCTTCATTCTGATTCATGAACCTGATCAACTGGTTTATTGGAAGAAAAAGAACGATTCAGTCACTGATTCGGTTATTGAGTTCAACTCACTGACTCAGTGATCTGTTCAAATCAAAGTAATGACTTTAACACTAGGGATCTAACGATATTATCATTATTGCGATAGCAAAACGATATTATCGTGGTCACATGACGATATGAAACGATAGGTCTTCCGTAGGGATGCACCGAATATTCAGCAACCGAAATTATTCGGCCAAAAATAGCAAAAAAATCTCTTTCGGTGTTCGGCCGAATAAGTGAAAAGGCCGAATAATATGAACCGAACAATGACGAACGCGATCAAATAGAGGCACGCGCTAATGCAGCAAACATGTCGGCAGTGTGAAAGTATTTAAAACTATCAGAGAAAGACGCAGAAATCATTACAAGCGTGAAGCACCGACAGCGAGAGACT